AATTCATAAGAATCGGTTTTGGAGGGATATGGGAACGAACATTGTGACACGAGAATTTTATATATTAGAGATAGAGATTATTGCTATTAAAAGATATGTGTTGGGTTTGACAGCCAAATGATAAAAACATCTTTGGGGTGGGCCATACTTATCATAGATAAATCGATTCATAAAAATCGGTCAAGCCTTTTCAGAGGAGTTTACATAGATAATTCAGTATCTTTTTCTAATCATATATGAAAGAAAATCACAGTTATTGTCCATGATTTGATTGATATGTTTATAAAGTCTATGATGAAAAAGTAAAGAAACTGAGCTGGGTTCAAGTTCTGCGACCGTGTAAGTTTTGATAAGTTTTAAATTGTAGTAATAATCCCCAAAGATCACATAAAATCTCAGACTAAGCTTTCGTTCCCTGTTGAAGTAGGCGGAAGGCTTGTTTTAGTGTCACTAACCTTTGGTTGTAGCGGGAATTATACAATGCAAGGGCCATTAATGCTGCACGACCTGCTATAGACCTTGTATGATAAAGGTATCTGGTTCGTCCAACAAGACTTATAAGATAAGCACGGTGTGCGCAGTGTGCTAATCATTGTTAATGACAACACACGTGCGTTGATTGAATATTGTCAAGTGTTTAGTTTTACCAGTGGTATTTGCATTACTTATAGCAATAAGTTAAAAAAACTTCAAATTTGGATTTGGCCGCGTGTTGTTAGTATTATTTATCATAAACGTTATAAGGTAATTAAAAAAATTAATTTAAGTTTCTTGAGTGAATAATAAATATATATAAATTATATCTATCTATCGATTTTATTCACTAAATACGAGAATTAATATTAAATAAAATATATGAAATTAACACTGTATAAAAAAAAACACTGATGTGAATGACCAGGATGCAATAAAACGAAGGATGACTACTGGTAGTACCGAATCGTGATGGATATTTTGATTGATTTCAGTCATAAAAGGCTTTGGTGAATTTTAATGATGACTGTTATATTATGTTTGTGAGAAACTAATAATAAAGATATATGCATTGGATGACGTTTACTGATACGTACGTCTTTATTTAGTTACTCAAGAAAATTCGTAAAATATACCAGGACCGCAATAATAACGACATAAATAAAACAAAAACGCTAATATGTTTAGAACAAAAACATTTAGAACAGTGACTTCTTGATAACATAATGATACACTTTAACCATTTATTATATTAATTACATAAATATTTCCTTCTCACATTTTGCTTAACGATGTGAGCAGGACAACAAATGTTTAATTTTAGATTGTGATAATCAGTGGTAGTCGCTTAGTTTTTCTTTGGTCAGCGCGGATGCGTCGCGAACAAATATTAAAATATTTTCAAACATAAATTTATAATTTCCCAGTTTTAAGTCTGTGAATTGTAATGTAACTTAGAAAAAGTGCAGATATTTAGTGAGCGAAGTAGGATTAGTTAACAAGCAGTGCACGGGATGAATGGTTTTGTATATACGTATTTTTATTAAAAATATCGTTATAAAATATTAGGAGTGATTGTGTGTATGTATGTATGTACTTATTACACTTAGTTCAACATAACACAAACCCAGATCACGAAAAATTATTATAATCGATTTAAAAGCTTGTAATTTTAACGGTGAAGAAATTAAGTACCCTCAAATTACTGCAAAGAATTGTAAGGTAATTCTCAGTAAATGTCGCACTAAGTTTTATTTATTTATTATAATTTTAATTGCCAAAATAACATTTCAAAATCAATTATAATTTAATATTTTTTATCGACTACCGTCTTAACTACAATGGAATTCCTACAGTATTCATAATTTAAAAAATGAATATTTTTAAAATACGTTCAAGATTTGCTGCTTGCTTGTTTTCTTATTGCAGTTTTTGTAGCTAAACAAAGAAGGCCATTCTATCTTTCATTTACTTTAAGGCCTATATAAGAAGGAATTATATGTACTAGGGGTATATTGTATGTCTTTTGATATTCGTTATTATAGGTTCTTGTAGTAATCGACTGACATACTTGCGTGGCAGTGTCACAATTTCAAGTAAGAAAAATACTCCTCGAATTTGGTTTTTCTGAACATATTATACACAACGAAAATCCAAAGCTACTTTAGTCAATATTCTGACTTGGGGTGAGGGGTTTTAAATACAGATAAAACGTGAGAAACAAATATTTAACGTTTGCTCTATTTGTGAATTATTAATATCCAATGATCGTTCAATTCAAAGTTTATAGAGGGTTACATGGTTTGTAACCAACCTTGACATCAGTCGATACCTTCACGGTTCCTTAAACCGGTTGACTGCGACCATTCACAGCATAGACAACATTTTGAAGGACTATCAAATATTGTATAAATTAATTAATATTAAAAAAAAAATTAAATGTAAATCTTTGATGTAAATAAAAATAGTACTAGGACAATATAAACAAATCACAACTACAATTGAACGACCGAAAAATGGATAGCTCTCACACAGATACGGCCGAAATCGACATACCGATAAGAAATTATTGCGATAGTATTTTTAGATGCTAAGATATCGGATGCGTCTTATAAATTCAGGATACCTTGACCTTAAATTTGTCTCGAATCAAGATACACAGGTAAAATATTTGATTTGAATATTATAACGGACAATATTTGTTAAGTTGTTGACTGTAAGGTTTTCCTGTTATTAGACAGACATGACCTCATCGTCGCCATGGTTATTTTTGAGTGATTTTAATATATATTTTTACTTTGTAGAAGAAACGCAATAAACACAAATATTAATCGGCGTGGCCTTATCACCTTAAAGCGGCCTTTTCCAGAATACCATACTAAAGCTAAAGAGTAAAAAAAAAGTTATATAAACACGCACTAGGATCGCAGAATTAGGTAGAGAGATAACAGTTAGAAATTTTTAACCAAAAGTGGCTTAATAGGTATAACACCCCGTGAGATCCCAGTGTGTGTGAGGTCCCGGATTCGGTCCGAGCGTGTTACGCAGGGCGGTGTCTCCTCCTTGCTTATAAAACCTATAAATATGTAAAGACTAAAGATCTGTGTCTTGGATACATTTTATATTCTTTATACATATTAAAGGACATACTTTTAGTCATATTATTGAATTAAATATGTTATTTAGTGATATAATATTTACTGGAATTTAATAGTTAAAGTTACGTGATAGGCATACTAGTCAGCCTTCAATGCTCTCTGTTATATAATGTTCTAGACTTACGCTCCCTTTTAGGGTACAAGGTTATCAACTCCATATTATGAATGATTAAAATCTGCAAATGTTTCATTCTTTATTTAAATTGATCAAATCAAGTCACCATGTTATTATTAAATTGTGTTACGCCATGTTATTCCCTTTTACCATTGATTACAATTCGCAAGTTGTATATTCGTGTATAGTCACATCCACCCCTGTAAGAAAGAAATAACGGCATGATTACAAAGTCAAAGTCAAAAATCATTTATTCATATAGGTACACAATGTACACTTATGAACGTCAAAATAGAAATATACATTAAATGCTTCTAATTTTACATTTACTGCCAGTTCTCAAATCAAGGGCGTAGAATTTGTCCTCTATCAGCAGGAGGCATGGTGAGATAGGATATACAATTTATTCCATTAATAAAAAGATTTTATTTATCCGAGTACATAAGATCTTAAAAATTTACATTGTCACCTAATGCGCACTAGTAATTGTATACTTCCTACTGTCTACATTACTACTAAAACAGCTAATATGATGTCATTGTTAGGATTGCTTTGTTTAAAAATCATTTATAATGCACTCATTTTATTTCAGATGTTAGGCACTTATGTATGATTTCTTAAAGGAAATATTACAGTTACACATTTCCACGTTATTATTTTAATCCACGAAGGATTCGCTCTGGTGCTTTACATAAAAATATAAGTTCATAAATGATTTTTATGTTTCTAATATTTCATTTTCATCATCACAGCGATTATTGTTGATGTAAACGTAACAATGATTACATAAAAATAGTTTTGCTTAGTCTTACAGTTCACGCAAACAATGGGCAATAATTATCTATATAATCTATATAATTAATTATTTTTTGCATAATCTGTTTAGGTTACTAAGATTCTGCTCGCGGATACCACACGGGTCACAGAGAATAACAAGAGGTTTATATTTGACTTGGACACCGCTTTCCTTATTATCCCATCTATTTTACAAAAACAAAGTTGTTTATCGCATCGTTGCCTCTGTTTGCAATTAATTGTACTTCTAACTTCGTAACTATTTCAGTATTTCTCATAAAGTCCTGTAGCAATAGGGCACGTGGCTTTTTTGCTTTCCTGAGTGTTAATTTCCCATACTTGCTTAGAAATAACTAATTAATACAACGGCGAGCTCCGAACCCACGTCGTTTGGGTTGCAATTACATTACTATCCCGGAAAATCTACTATACAGGAAATCTGATGGTGTGAGGTTGTTCATAATTAAGTAACTTGCCCGATCGAAGCCTGATGTTAGTAAGCATACATACATAGTTGCAACGTTACGAGAGTTCAAGGTAGCAATAACGATGTAACTGATATAAATACATTTACATAAAAAAATAATTTTTAATTATTAAAATTAACATATTTTCTTGTAAATAAAATTAAAGGCTACCTGCACCACGGCTTAAGATATATTAGAAATACAGAAGAGTTTTAGTTTCGATTCCCGACGAGACAAAAATTGACCGAACAGTAGGCGGATAACCGATTTGAAAACATTGTCTCTCTGAGAATTTTGACCTCAACGTAACAGTAAACTTCACTTTATTTCAAATAATGACATTGTGTGTGCGTATGGCGTTCGTGTTGTGGTTTAAAACTTGAATTTTTAAAATCTAATTTCAATATTTTTTACGAACTTATTTGGGTTTATTTTTTGGTAATCGTATATAAATTAAATTTATTGTTTTCTTGCAGCAAGATGGGGTCCACAATGTATGAGCATTATTTGGAAATTGCCTTTGAGGCCGAATTGAATACCAGAGAGGATCCTGAGCTTCTAGAAATGGCTCCGGAAATATGCAACGAGCATCCAGACACCAGGGACGCAGCAATCACTGAGCTTAGAAGAATGATTTTTGGTAAGGTTTCTTTGAAATATTTTTTATTACGTTAACGTATAATATGCACACCTCGGGAGAGTATTCTTAAAAGAAGATACACATCACATAGATTGTATAGAAGCCAGGATCATTAAGTTAAGAAAGTCTTAAAACCGATTTTTGCGCAATTACGACTTTCCAATAACTAAGCATTTCGCGAGAATTGAATTTTGTGTTTTGACTGCGTTTTGGTCTCAGGTTGATGATATACAGTATCGCTGGAACAGGCAGTGGAGTCGCTTCTTCAAAAGAAAAACATTACATAGAATCATAGAACATAGAAAGTGTGTATAATTTAGACATTATTTTTGTGTCTAACAATTTTTGCTAACATTGAGAAATCTCAGCCATAATTTTTTCTCGTTGATGAAATAGTAACAGGGTTGCCAACTTGCCTTTTAAGCGTCACCATTATGATACTGTAATTAAAATTAAGTATGATATGGAATTATTTCACATACATTAATTTTTTTAACGTAAATAAATATAAAGATTTAAATGGTAAATAAAGAACATGGCGCATGACCAATCCTTGATTACGTAATTTATGAGAGATAGATTTATTAAATTACACATTTAAAACGATAAATTTAAAATTTATTGTTATCGTTATTTCGTCCACAGAGCAGCGAACTGTTGTGCAGATCATCTCTTTATAGTATTGCGTCATACTGTTGCGATCGCAGTTAAAAACCTATTTACACGTCCAAAATTGCAACGTATTTTTATCACAATAGACAAAAAATCTGCAAAACAATTTAAATTATATGTCCAAAAAATATTTTAAATCTTGCTGAAACTTGAATAATCCTTGAATCCGTTTTCCCAATTTAACGTAGAAAAAAATTGTTATTGACATAACGACTAAATTACAATAATCCACGACAAAATTACAATAATCCACAGGCAAACTAAGGGCTAAGGGTTTTTTGATCCGTAGTTAACTCAACTAATGGTTAAATATCGTAACTATTAGTTAAATATAAGCAAAATGCATTTTTTGACCTGTGGTTAGAGTAACTAATGGTCTAATATCAAACCATTAGTCAAAAAAGTTAACTATCATAAGGTGAGCATCCTGCCCGTTTGCCCCCAGTTCTATAAAAAAAAAACGTTGTTTTGCCATGTATATTATTTCTAGGAAACATTTTTTAGTTAAATAAAAATAACTACTAAAATTTCTCTTGTTCATTCTCTTTTACTTTCTATTCTTGATTATGCAGATGTGTGTTATCCAGATTTAACTGAGTTGCAGCTTGATAAGTTAGAGCGCTTACAAAATGTTTGCATCAGATTCATATTTGGACTTCGTAAATTTGACCATATTTCGGAGTTCCGAAGAAAGCTTAATTGGCTACCCATTCGATTGCGGCGTAAGATGCACATTTTACAACTTCTCTATAATGTTCTTTTTAATCCTAAAACCCCTAGTTACTTAAAGCAAAATTTTATGTTCCTCTCTGGCGGTAGTTTTGATTTGCGTTCCATAGACAATCTAATTCTTGAAACTCTCATAAAACTGAGTTCTATCACTCCTCCTTCACCGTGCAAAGTATCCTGCTATGGAATTCCCAGTACCTATTCATATCAGACGAGCTCAGTCTTTAAATTTATGGAATAAATCGCTTGTGGGTTGCCTGGAATAAATCGCTTGTTAGCGATAAGGCCGCCCGTTGCCTAATAACTTATGTAACCTACTTACTTTTAGTTTTTTTATATGTATAATTATGTGTATTATGGCAATGAAGTATAAATAAATAAACTATCTAGTATTATAAAAAATAGGGGTTAATCATTAAGGGGTGAAAATTTGTATGTATTTTTTAATGCCACATAATAAAAAATAAAAATTTAGTGTGGACACCCCTTACCACTTAGGGGTTTGAAAGATAGATAGTAGCTGATTCTCAGACTTACAGAATATGCATTAAAAAAATCATAAGAATCGGTCGAGCCGTTTCGGAGGAGTATGGGAACGAACAATGTGACACGAGAATTTTATTTATTAGAGATATGTATGTGAAAAGACCAAAAATATTTAGGCAACGCCGCCCGCCGTAAAAAATCTGGGATGATGTAGATTTTTGTCACCGTTACCGTCTATCGAAGGAAACAGTGCTCTGGATTGTTACTGAAATTGGGAATGATCATAAAACACCCACTCTATGTATGTATTTGAAGTGTGGTAAAGAAGGTTTCCCTGCATAGGCTCACAATTAAGGGTGGCTTTAAAAAATGTACACCCTATCATTGTTAGCACTGCAATATTGCATAGAAAAGAGGGAATATCTGCCAAAAGACAATGGAAATTCCACAGTTCACCTTCCGGAAGAGCATCTAGCTTACCCGGAGACTGCCAATGAACAAGAGTACAGACAGCAGCTCATACAAACCTTTTTTGTTTCATTACTAGCTACAGAACCACTGCAGTAAATAATGAAGTATATTAATAAATAATAACTCTAATTCATTATGTATTTTATTGCCTATAATATTAACTTATAATTGTAAGTAGGCACATACTTGTAATGAACTACAACTACACATTAGTTAGGGACCTATGATATCCTTTAGGGCTTTCTATTAGATATGTGTTTAGCATCTACCTACTTTATTACAAGAATTAATAAATAAAACATGAGACTTGATTAATAAACTGTTTACTTAATTATAACTTAAATACAAACTATTTTTGTTAAAAAAACATTACATAATTTAAACCCTAAAGTAGCAATTTAATATTTTCTAATTGTTTCTTCTTGCATTCCACCTCAATTTGATGCAACTCTTCTTGCTGCTCCATATATTTATTGTGCCTTTCTTCCATCTGCTGCATCGCTTTTTGGTGCGCCTCCTGTTTGTGCAGCATGGATTTTTGGTGGGCCTCTTCTTTGTAAAGCAAATGTTTGTGATGCTCTTCCTTAGCATAATTGGACAAATCATGCTCTCTTATTTGTTTTTGTTTCAACGAAGGTAAGGTACGGTCTCTTTAACAAAACATAAATGTTTTACTTTATATTCCAAAACACAAGATGACCCGGAATAAATAACACGAAAATATGTTTGTACTTACTTGCTTGACCGTTGGCTGTTTGCGGACATCGTTATTTATATATTTTAGTATCGTTGAAGGTTTAAACTTTAAACTGTAAACCGTATTAAAACACAGAAAAACAACTTTATTTATATCGTAATCGTGTTATTTATATTACACTTCAAAGTTCAAACTTCGAAATGAATTTGACACTTCAAACTTCAAAGCGCAAATAACAAATAAAGATGGCCAATTGCCAAAATGGATTTCATTCGCTCAGATGATTAGAGCCTCTAGCTCGTTTGCCATTCATTCGCTCAGTAAGTATAGTGTTGTCATACAAAATTAAATGTTCCCCACAACAACAAAAAAAACTACATTTTTTGGGATGTCATTGTTCATTGCACTGGCAACGATTGGCCAATTGTTAAGTAAAACTTATAGTTATATAGTTAAAATAGACATCGAAAAACGAATTTACGATTTCATTATAATTTTTATTTGGCCAAAAAATATAAACAAATTGAAAAACATTGATATTAAACATTACATACAACAAAATGACTTGACTAGGTATCTATTTTAAAAAGGAGCAAGTTTCAATATAAAGAAGACCCATAAATTTCTGTAAACTCATTTCAGATCGCGGGGAATGCGAGCCTCTTCGGACAGACGACGAGTACTTGTTAAGGTTTCTTCGCGCCAGGGACTTCATCATACCAAGGGCGCATAAACTTGTAAGTGTTTTAAGATTTTCAAACATTTTCTTAACTAAATTTTTATGTACACATCTTCTATAGGCTACAACCAGGCTATATAAAGTTATTATGGCTTATATTAATTTAATATTTATATATATATATATATAAATTGCTTATATAAAGACTAATTACAGATTTATCTTAAGTAGGTAGAGTTATTGAACTCTTGACCTACTATAATTATGCAGTATGTATATGGGTAATACATTATAATGTTACGTGAATCATACTTAATGTGTATATAACCATGACAATCTTTGTTGTTAACCGTACGTATTAAATTATTATTTGAAAACCCACATAATTAGTGATATAGTCTTAGAACCCGTGAACACTCCCCCTTAGTGAAGTATATGGCAGCTCTATTTTATTGAGCTTTTTTGATTGGTTAGTACATATTCAGCAGCAGTGCCTAGCCTGATGGCTTCAGCGTGCGACTCTCATCCTTGAGGTCGTAGGTTCAATCTCCAGCTGTACACCAATGGACTTTTTTTCTATGTGCGCATTTAACATTCGCTCGAACGGTGAAGCCGTGAGGAAACCGGCTTGCCTTAGATCCAAAAGGTCGACGGCGTGTGTGGTAAATTATAATGTTTAACAAATGTTGTTCGTAAAAAGATTATAGTGTTTTTTTACTCTAAATTGTTGCGTTCAAACCTGTGTATAGACGCTTTTTAATAATAATAAATCGTTTATTTGCCAAAATTGTGGTACGAATAGATCGACCAACTAAATAATCCGCACAATCAGCCATATATGAATAAGTCCATAAGATGTTACAATTTGAGGGTCAAACTGAACATTTGATAGAGGACGCAATTTTATTTATGGGACTTATAAGGGGGGTCAATATAAGCTTAACCTCAAGTTTGTGGGGTTCCATAATTGTAGTCAATGCAATTTCCTACGAAATAAGTCTTTACAAATTTTTTGTACGATGGACAGTTTAGGAGATATAAAACGTTTTTTCTCCCCTTTTTCCAAGATGGCGGCCGGGGGATAGGTTCGCGGCAGCGATAAGCGGCATTCGTAGAACAACGAATGCTCAATGCGAATTAGGGATGCTCGATGATCATCAATGTTCGATGAGCATTGATGTTGAAAGCAAAAACATCATTGTTGCTCTACGATTATTTCTCTCAAGATATTTCTCTCTCACACTTCCGCGCTACTCTTTATAAACAATGAAATCGATTAAAAGGTATATTGATGGCAATATCGATGTTTTTCTAATATCGATCATCCCTAATGTGAATGCACCTGCACACAACAAAGCACGCGGGACTTGGACAAACTGAGAGCGCTCGAATGCCGCGCTATATTTGGTCACACCCTTATAATAACAGCTGCATCTTACTACATATAAGGGCTCTAGGGGGCGGCGTCATTCGCTTTGTTTCTAAATTTAAGTAACGACCTGAAAACAGTTTTGTTATTGAGTGGATAATGTAATTTTAGTAACGTATTTAAATTTTTTGAACCATCAAGGTATCGTCAATATTTATTTCGAAATAGTGATGAAATTAATAACCAAAATTAATCGTCGTACATTTATTTATTTAATGATATTCATAACTTTTCGAAACGTAATTTATTTTACAAAAAATGTGGCAATAATATCACGCTAGTTTTGCAATCATACTAATATTATAAACGCGAAAGTTTGTAAGTATGTTTGTTACTCTTTCTCGGAAAAACTACTAAATGGATTTTAATGAAACTTTACAAGAATATAGCTTATACATCAGAACAACATATAGGCTATGTAATGTATGATGGAAATGTTTATCATAAATAGTCCTAAAAAAAGCCCGCCACAGTATATATCTTATATGTAAGCCATTATAGCCAAAATAGTGAAACATAACTACAATAAAAATTGATACTTTTATTTCAAATGCACATTTGGTAGTAATAAATTGATTCCTAAATGAAACTTTTATCGCTTCTAGTACATTATTTAGACACATATTATTTTAATTCTGCGCAGACGAAGTAGCGGGCACTATCTTGTACAATACGAAGTTCATGAGATGGTATTGTTTGCTGATGACACTTCACTTCTATTTAAAGTGAATAGGAATAACATATTATTGGACGATGTAAACAATTCTATCTCTCGTATAGTTAACTGGTTTAATGTAAATAACTTATTGCTTAATGAGAATAAAACAAAATGTATTAGATTTACAACTACTAGCGTAAAGCGAGATATTGGTAACCTGAAAATTAAGGACAGTGAACTAAACTTTGTTGACAAAACTGTTTTTCTAGGCATAACAATAGATAGTAAACTCCAATGGGGCCCACACATAGAGACTCTTTCGAATAGGCTGAGCTCTGCAGCATATGCAGTAAAGAAAATCCGACAGTTTACTGATGAGGACACGGCTAAAATTGTGTACCATAGCTACTTTCATAGCGTTATGTCGTACGGCATTTTACTGTGGGGTGCTGCTGCAGAGGTTCAATCCATATTTGTGCTGCAGAAGCGGGCTGTTCGGGGTATTTGTTGTGTTTCTCCGAGGGAGTCGGTACGGAATAAGTTTAAGGAATTAAATATTATGACACTATCTGGTCAATATATTCTTGAAGCCTTGTTGTATGTCCAAAAAAATATAAACGATTTTAAAACAAATGGTGACTTTCACCAGTATAATACGCGAAATAGAACTAATTTGAGTGTACGACCAACCAGGCTCCAAAAGATAAACCACTCCTTATATGGAAATTGTATTCGTTTTTACAACAAGCTCCCAAGCGAAATTAGAGAATTATCACTAAATAAATTCAAAGCCCTCGTTAAACGAAAATTAATCAACAAAGCTTTTATAAATTTGAGGACTACTTAAATGATCCTAATCCTTGGGATTGAATTGCTCCAGTTCAAACAATTTGTATGACAATACTTGGCGATTAAAAAGAGTGGCGGAAAGTTTCTTGCCAGTTCTTCTTACCCGCTCTACGCCCTTGACTTGCGAACTGGTAGTAAATGTAAATTTACGATTAATTTAACTTGACGATTCAAAAGTGTACTTGGTTACCTACTTGAATAAAGATATTTTGAGTTTGAGTTTGAGTTTGAATATAATTAGTATGTTCTCATGGACGACACGGCCATGATATAGTGGTCTAGACTTTTGAAGTCTCAATTAGCCTTCAATCTCACCTGGTGCACAAGCGTTATTGTATAACTCTTGAATTATTATCATTTAAATCTTATCATTTACTGATATTTTAAATAAAAAGGAGGGCAACCGGCGGCCTTATCGCAGGCGAGCGATCTCTTCCAGGCAACCATTTAAACTTCCATGGAACGAAATTCAGCGCAAGACCAATAACTCTGCGTTCTCGTCTTGGCTTTTTTTAAAATTAGGACTTCCATTGATATATATTTAAAACATAATGGCGTTTATAATTTATCGTCTATATACTATAAAAGAAAATTTTCTACTAATCGCTTTTGTATACTTAAATAAATTAAACGCGGAATTTACTGATTTATTATATAAATATATTTAGTACAAATACCGTCACTCCATCGATATTGATTTCCTCATTAGCAGGTTTAGTGGGCGTCATGGTAAAGTGCGAGCACAAAAGACACGAATAATTATCGTACTGTATTTAATTTTGATTGATTCCTTTTAACATTACAAATAACATAGTGTGAGTCCATGGGCGACGGTATCACTTAACATCAGATGAACCTCCTGCCCGATTGCCTCCTCTTACATAAAAAAAAGCTCCACTGAATACTCCATCAGTACTATGGAAAATCACAACGGCCGCGGCATATCAAAAGTCGCTTTTACTAATGTTGTTATTGACAGTTTATTATATAAGTGTGTCAATAACAAAATATATAGTATAAGAGTCGAACTATAATATAATTATTTTCATTTGGAATATTTTTTTTTAATTCCGAAAAGTAAGTATGTCAAAGAATGTTTTTTTTTCTGATCTGTTCGCTTCAATCTTTCAAAATTAATTTCTTTCAAAATCTTGTTGGAATAGTTATAAAGTGAATAATAGTTATATAGTTACATTTTTAGAATACAGGTTTTAGGATTGTAGGATATTTATATAAAAAAAACTAGCTGACCCGGCAAACGTTGTTTTGGCATGTATATTATTTCTAGGAAACATTTTTTAGTTCAATAAAAATAACTATCTACTATAATAACAAATAGAGGTTGATTTTAGAGGGGTGAAAATTAAGCGTTGTATGTATTTTTGTACTATGCTGTATCATAAAACAATAAAAAAAAATTGTCTAAGAAATAATAATTTAAGGGTGGTCCACCCTTAACATTTAGGGGTTTGAAAGATAGATAGTAACCGATTCTCAGACTTACTGAATATGCATAAAAAATTTCATAAGAATCGGTCGAGCCGTTTCGGAGGAGTATGGGAACGAACATTGTGACACGAGAATTTTATATATTAGATATAGAGTAACACTGAGGGGAAATAAGACAGTTTTTCTTCGTTGAGACTTTTGGGAGTTGCCGAAGTTTCCTGGTGCTTTATATTTGTTTTTTGTTTTGTATATTCAAGAGAAACATATTTTATTAATATTAGCCGCGGATACGTGCGGTTTCGGAAGTTATCGCGAAAAGTATCATAAAGGCAGGAAACAGAAATCCTGTATCTATTGTGGTTAATGTTGAACTATTTAATTGATAAGTTTGCGGTTATTAATAAATAACCGCAACCCCATGTTATCTATTGATTTTTATCTAAATGTTGCACTCATTTTGCGGTATAATTTATACATTAATACCTAGTCTTGTCATAAATGCTGAAACAAAGGAAAAACATTTTTTTGCTTTTACTAATAACATTTATTACTTTTACGTAAATATTAAGTAATAAAAAATCCCTTCTTATTTACTATATTGTCGATAAGGAAATACAATGAAGGCCATTTCTTTAAAATGTTGTTTTTATCATTTATTTGTACATACATACAAATTAATATACATATTTTTTCAACTACTTAAGTATAAATTTTACAAAATTTGTATTTTTTAGCTTTAAATATTTTATTAAATAAATATTAGTAATCATACCTTTTAATTACTTATTGAAATACGCATGAGCTTTATTATTGTTGTTTTATAATAAAGTAATGAAAAAATTACTTTTTATTTACTATATTGTCGATGAGGAAATAAAATGAAGGCCATTTCTTTAAAATGTTGTTTTTATCATTTATTTGTACATACATAATAATAAATAATAAATGTATAGCATCTGAGCTTTATTTGAAGTTATCGGTTTTTGATATGAAACACACTTCGAGAACAGACTTTTAGAACGTCCGGCGCTACACATCTTATACACTGTATGTTAAATATAATATAATACAATTTAAGATGTAGAGATGTTTTCATTGAAATCCACAATCACTTTTGTTTCCAGCTAGTCAGATATTGTGCATTCCGGGAACAATGCTCACACTTGTACCAAGATGTCGACCTGTGGGGACTCGTCAAAGCCGGTGAAGCCTACGAAGGCTGTATGTACGACCGTCCAGATGTAGGGAGACTTTCGATCATGCGCTTTGGTATGTTGATAATCTATCTTTATATCCGACACTGTCTGCTATATTATATATATATATAGATAGATAGCCAATCACATACACATATTAAAATGCTGTAATGATATAAACTGGATATTAAACTGTATGAGTGACAAATGACGTCGCGTTGCGTTTGGTTGTGATTGGCCAAAAGATTCGTGTCGCGTGTCTGTGATTGGATATTGGCCAATAACAATCGAATGAAATACGCTGTCACCTTGTCTTTCGACTTTCATTCACAACTCCGTGTTCATTCAATCCAACATGACTTTTAGCCAGTGGCGTAACAATAGGGTGGCAGGGCTGGCAAAATGCCACGGGCGCCCTACCCAAGAGATATTATGTTCTATGGATGAATGTGAAGTCTCCAATATGCATTGGGCTAGCGGGGGGACTACATACCATTCCCTCTCGCCTAAGAGAGGTGGCCTATGGCCATCAGTGGGACATATACAACATGTAATTCAGTACGCTGAAAATCTCGAAGTTTATTAAAATTAAACGTGACGATTTTTACTGATAGGGCCCCATGGTATATTAACGCTACTGCTTTTAGCTCTATTAATCCATAGATTATATTATAAATAAACCTGAAAACATCTTACGATAAAAACAATTATTCTACGTTTATCTACAAATGAGCTATTTTTATTTCAGGTAAATGGGACCCCTCAGAGTATCCTGTTGAAGATCTAGTCCGTCTTGGTGTTGTTATGTTGGAGATCGGCATACGACAACCGAAGCTCCAGGTGTTTGGGGGCACTGTGCTTGTAGATCTGGAAGGCCTGTCACTACGACAAGTGTCCGCTCTGACACCTACAATTGCGTATCAAATTGTCAATATTATGGGAGTGAGTATGAAATTTACTAGTTCATCGAGGTATTGTAAGGGGCGTAAGCTGGTCAAGCGCAGAAGACGCTCATGGCAGACAGCGCACACTTGGGGGGACCGATAAAGGTAAACTGTTACCCTATATTCCGTCCATAGCGAAGAGATAGAGCCGTTGGGTTTCGGTAGGTAGAAGTCCACTGCACCTTCCGGAATGACTCTCATACTTCCCGTTACACTTTAATAAGTTTTTCCGGTGCAAGGGGCCAGAATGGATTTCCTAACAATTATAAAACTCATTCAAATGGTTTCCAGAGTCGAGACCTAGCGTGAACTAGCGGCCGCTTTCTATACTCAATCCCAATCCAATTTTACCTACTAGAGATTTATATTTCAATCCATTTATAATAAAATACTTTTCAATAACCGATCAATGGATCGTTTTTGTAAAATATCTATGAATTCGACAGATCGAATTTTGAAATTTGCGAAAATTTAGATGGGAAATAATTATAGATCGAGTATAGAATGCGGTCGTATGAAAACCGTATATCAAACTCAAATATGTCTTTGACACTAAACATCTTATCCTAGATAATTTTAGGCTTACAATTTTTTGTATTAAAATATAACATTTACAGCGGTAATTTCGCCAATAAATTACCTATGATTAGAAAATAATTTCAATAAGCTAAATTATTAATTCCCTAAAGAAATGTGCATTTAAGTGAACTAATTTAAATCAATTCTAGATAAGTAACTTCGTTAACAAGTTTTATAACTGAAAATTTAATAAAAATTGTTATTATTCCTATTTATTTCTCATCTAAGCCCTTTATGTTGGTTTATTCGTTCCTCGAGCTTTCTAAACTTTTATTTTAAATAAATCTAACCATTCTGCTTCGATTTTATAGTTACTTGTCTCTGATAAGATGGTAATCAACGGGAAGACCAGAATAATTCCATAGATTTACCGCCTTCGTGACTTAGTGGTTTAAGCCCACATTATATACCTAAACGGCTTGATTTCCAAGGAAGCAATAATAATTTTAATAGGCGGGCACGAAAAAGTGGACACCTTGTTTTAAAAAAGTCTATTTTTTTTTACCCGCTTTGATTTAAAACTATGTAATACTAGCTGTTCCCTGCCACGCTTCGCTGTGGCAAATTGTGATTGATTGGTTGAGAAATGAGAAGCAAAACAATGAAAACATTTCATATAAGTTGAATTTTGCAATACTCATGGAAAACATTAATATAAAAATAAAATAGATAAAAACAATCCTTGCAGATTATATATCATGCTAAAATTTCAGCTCGATCGGTGCAGAACTTTTTGAGTTTTTAAGCGTACCCAAACCAACGTAACGTTTTATATACATAGATTGTATTATATTTAGTAAAGTTTTCTAGAAGAATAAATAGAGATTATGTAGTTTGCCAATGTGAATGAAATCGGCCCTTTAAATTTTGAGTTTATTTACAAATAAATACAAATATTTCTGTAATCTGTAAAATCTATATGAAAAATTCTCGTGTCACAGTAATTGTAACCGAACCACGAAACAGCCGATTATTATGTTTGTGTATATTCGATAGGTCGTAAACCATTAATTCCCCTAAGTTTTTTTTATGATTTGGCATAAAATAATTCTTACAACCCATATTTTTCACCCTTCATTCATACAATTTTAATAGCAACATTAGTACTGTTTTAATCTTCTTTAGCGTGAAACAACATTTGCCAGCCATTTCTAAAGCCTAATTTTCAGGTCTCAACACCAAGTAAACTGAACGCGTGCCACATCATCAACTACAACTGGCTCCTGAACACATTCTTCTTCGTGTTCAAGAAATTCATACCCCAAAGGGCGTGGGACAAAATACATTTCCATGGGAATGACTTGAAGTCACTCCATAAGCACTTGGACCCAGCGTGTTTGCCTCCAAGGTATGGGGGCACCTGTAGGAGCCACGTATCAGCTCGCAAATGGTTGCAGAAGATAAAGAAGTACAGAGACGAACATTTTGACAAAGAAATGAAACAATTGGGATTTGTTATTAAAGAATAGGATTTATCGTCTAATTGTTGGTGACGAACTTGATTAATATCCTTTACCCTCTTACTCAGAGTCGTTTATTAAGATTTTACGGGTATTTTAATGGTTCAGCCGTTAAATCAGACCATTTTTTATAGTTGAGAGAAATTAGAAATTTATACAAGTTAGCCTTCAATAAGAAATCATTTAATGAACGAGTCTGCGTGATTAATAGTTCGATTCCCGATAAGTATCTTTTTCATATGATCGGCCAATCTTCTTGCAATTGAAGAAAACAAATGACCATAATTTCACTGTTACCTACTTATTATGTATAGAGAAATATAGAGAAGCAATAATTGTTATTTTATATTGCTTTAGGACGGGGAATGTTTTCGTTTAATTTGCATACATTAAAAAATGTTATAACTTTTATTCAAGAAGTAAGAAATGCAAATGAAATTAACGAGTCCTTTTATACTAGTATGGTCAAAAAAATAATTAAATAATAAAAATAAAAGTCACGAATTTATGGATTAAGCTAAAAGTTTGCATTTATGGTCTAAGATCCCGCTATACAACGACCTTCACCGAGATGCTTATTTAATGAAACTTATTTTATATATAATTTAATATGTCAATAAATATAATCCATATGGGTTGCCTAGCAAATTTCAGTCCAGAGTATTTTTAATTAATTTAAAAAAAAAATATTTTTTTAAACATTTCACCGGTATGATTATTAGATAAATTCTATACCAATCGAAAGTATGAAGCCCATAGAATATGCAAAAGTTAGGTTGTTTTTAATCAATTACTTATTTATGTGTATATTTTTTATGTGACACTAAAGTATATATACATCTTTAGTATAAAAGAAGGTTATAGTGATACATATATAATACTACCCTGATTAAAAATATTGATTGAAAAAAGTTCAAAAAATTTACTACATGCTAATTATAAAAAAAAATTTTTTTTTTAAATATTAATTAAACATACTCTGGACTGAAATTTGCTAGGCAACCCATATGGATTATATTTATTGACATATTAAATTAAATATAAAATAAGTTTCATTAAATAAGAATGTCGGTGAAGGTCGTTGTATAGCGGGATCTTATACTATTAGTAAAAAATGGTTTCCAATATTAGGTTATTTTATATGTGGTTTACATTGTTTATGTTTTTTAAATGTAAAACCTTTTTCGATGGTTATTTTAGTAAATACTTTTTTAATACATAAAATATTATTAAAAATATGCGTGAAATTGGACACTTAAAATCAATTTAAAGTTACATTACATTTTAATTAAAAACATTTTATTAGTAATCATAACAGTCAAATATACAGTAATTACAATATTAATAAAAAGAAAATTAAAACAAATTTAAAAAGTTTGGCCCCTGTGGCAGTGTACCTTTAACGCTGGCAGCATTTACTCGCTGTATTGCGATACTTATTCGTTGAGCGAGGAAAGCACTAGCTCTGGGGTCACCGGTCGCTCTTTAATTAGCGCCTGTGCACTCGAACCGCACGGCACAAGAGTCTCTACTGCAAAGGGAACAAAAGCGAAGTTGGAAAAAAGACCATATTTGACCATATATTTGAGCTGTTTAAATTAAAATTATATTATTGCAGTCAAAACCGTTTATAACGACATTGAAGGGACCGTATAGTTGCCGACGTTATATCCGATAGTCGTTATATCAGCAATGTCATATACACAAGTACAGTACATATGTATGTACATAGTTATATTATCATAGTTATCTATCTATAATAGGTAGGTATGGGTTATAATATGGTATGTTAATATTATAATATGTAAAGGGGTCAAAAAAGAAACAAAACTTTTAAATCAAACTGTTACTCACGTAGTCAATTAGCGAACTAAACATGTGTAAAGTATGCAAGGTCAAATGGCCGGGAAGAGGTTCGGATGAGGCGGGAGAAAGTGCGTAGGTAATAATATGCCTAATATTCATTCAATGCTTATAAATAAGATTTAAAATCGTTTGTATTGTTTTGTTTTGCTGAGACAAGAAGCGGTTGGTCGTTATAGCCGATGAATATCGATAAAATTTCGTCGTTGTAAGCGATATGTCGCTGTATCCGATGTTGTTATAAGCGGTTTGTTTACTGAATAGTTTACTAGGGATTCGGACGGGACCATACAATCTGGTTGTAATAACCGATAGGTCGTTGTAAACGATGTCGTTATAAACGGTTTTGACTGTAGTTGCATAATATTATAATATATAAAAATTGCTCAAAAGTAAAATAAGATTATGATAGTTGGTCTGTGATATAATCTTTACAAATTCCTGTTTACAATCTTTTACAAAATTATCTGTTTATTACTTAAGTTGTACCTTTATTTGAAACAAAGTTGGAAACTGAATTCTAGTCTTTTTTAAGAAAGCAACATTTTATCAAGGGTATGAATGTGATATAATAAACATTTTTAATATGATTTATTTTATTTTTAAATGTAAAAAAGCATTTTAGTATAACCTAGATAAGAATAATAAAAGTTTTTATTAATGGCCCCTTTACACTAAATAAGTCTTTTTACACTTCGTAAATTTCATTTCTCTCATATAAATACATTTTGTCTTTCTAAAGTCCGTCAAGGTTAAATAATCATTTTGATTAAAAGACTGAGAGGACGGAATTGCTAATGGACGAATTAAAATCATTAATCTTAGAAAGGCCTTGTCGGATATACCTGGACAAAATCCAGGAGGTACTAGAGACGGGACAAGTTAAAAACACCCATAACCATAGCATGCATGGTGATTATCGTAAAATGGGATAAAACGGGAGAGATATGTCCTGACCGTGACAAGTCCTGACATATCTCTCCCGCTGCATCCGTGCTCCCTGCCTATCCTTCGGGAAAATGTAAATAAAAGTCTTATTTACTTAGAGAATAACAAAAATGGAAGAGTTTTTACGAATACGTGGGTCGCGAGTTTTGGTCTTAAGATCAACTCAGCAAACAAAAATCATGAATGTCGATCACCGAATTAATTGCTCAGAAATCAAACAAAACATCTGTTGCAAACTATCACAGTTTGCATTCAGTCATAGATGCCGTAAATATTATATCACACGCCGTCGACTTTTTGGGTTTAGACCCCAACATGTCGGTTTCCTCACGATGTTTTCACCGTTCGAGCAAATGTTAAATGCGCATATAGAAAGAGAGTCCATTGGTACACAGCCAGGGATCGAACCTACGACCTCAGGTATGAGAGTCGCACGCTGAAGCTACTAGGCCAACACTGCTCAAGCTTGTTAGAAAAATTCTCTGCCATAAATGGCGTTTAGTGGCGTTAGCAAGTATTATTTAACAGTACGTCTTGGTGTACTTCAGTACAAATACTCTGTTCAATGAACTGTAAAAGCATTTTGCTAACCGAATATAGGATCAAAGTGAAAATGTCTTTATTTATAAATTACTAGTGGACCCCACAGACGTTGTCCTGCATGATATTTAAAGCGATTAGGATATTAAGCAAAGTATGAAAGTACCGACTGCAGTGCCATCTGCCGGGCTGATTTGTGAATCTAAACCATTCCCAGATCCCCTTGAACACACACAATAAATTTCATCAAAATCGGTCCAGTCGTTTGAGAGAAGTTCAGTGACATACACACTCACAGAAGAATTATATATATATATAAGATAATGGGAGATGTTCTTCAGTCTCAAAGTAGAATAATTATAGGGTATATATACCAAGGTAATTAATATAGGTAATACTACTTCAGTAATTACTTTTCATTGAATTTAAATATGTACATTACAGTAATACGCCCAAATGGGTAGCAGAAACATTATGGCACTGGCAATAGTTTTTCTTATCAGTCGGCCTCAGCGCCTTCCAATTATTTAATAATTATTTAGCTGGGTATAGAACCTGAAACCCATGACCCGTTATCAGTAGCGTCTGGGTGTAGGTTCCACACTGAGATAGGTGGATAAATTCAAATGCAAATTCAAAAATCATTTATTCATATAGGAAACAAAATGTACACTTATGAACGTCATAAAATAAATATATATGAAATGCTTCTAATTTTACATTTACTGGAAGAGAAGAACTGGCAATAAACTCTCCGCCACTCTTTTTAATAGCCAAGGTCTTTGTTTTAAACAATGTTTTTAAAGGAGCTGCAACAATAACACCATGTTCCACATCTTAAGTAATTAATAATTATAAAATAAATTAAAAACAAAGATTTGTCCTCCATCATCAGGAGGCATGGTGCTCCTAGCACACACTTACATTCTCGTAGGAACAACACGCAAATACAAAGTCGAAAAAACTAACATCACCATCACCATCATACACGAATTCAAGTCCGACCAGTCACCACAAATAGCACCCGTTCACGAGTATGAGGCCTGGCCAGCCATCGGCCCGCCAGATAAATTAAAAAAAAAACAATATGCTTATTGAAAGTTATTAACCAGCTGACGTTTCATTTTACACGTTAAAGTAAATAATATGACTGTTTTAAATAGAAACATACAATTCGTGTTTAATACTAAATGTGTAAATATTGTCAAATAACACAGCAAGAAGGTAAACCAAGTTTGAAAAGTCAAATAGAGATAGTCAAGTAGTGGGTCCGCGAAATAAGGGTTTTTTAAAAACTTAAAGTTAAAATGAATACAACCGGTCCGATTTGAGGTCCGTTTAATACTAAATATTACAAGTATTCTATTATATTTATATCCTATTCTTAAAGGCCTACGTGACCGTTGTGCTGACACATTGTTCTCACGCTCTACAAGGAAACGTTACTTAGTAAGAACTAAGAGTGGTTCGTAAATCATGTAAGTGTGGTTCGTAAATCATGTAACAGCATTTCGGCTATTGAAATATAAAGGATCTTTGTACTACTATGTTGCAATGGTTTTTTGTTTATATAAAATATAATTATCCTATGGTGGTGACACACGGGATTATATAACTCCTCCCTCCTTAAGAGCGAAATTATCAGGGGATTGCACATG